CACAGGACAGCCTCAGAGATAAAATTTTGATCACACAGTAATCAAAGTCTAAAGCTTGAATGGGAATCATGCAACCCTTTAGATCTGGACAAAGAGTTTAAAATTTACTGAGTAATGATTTCAAAGAAAAAAAAAACACAAGATGATGTATAAATTGCACCTAATGCCAGAGAGGCTTTCTAAAGGCTTCTTCACACTTACCCTTTTTTGGTGAAATTATGGGATTTTTATAGTTCAGCCATGGAACCTGATGGCTCCCATCACACCCCAGAGAACTATTTCTGGGGCAGCTCCATGGCTGAACTGCCACCACCACTGAAAACATGGCCCAAACATGGCGGTGACGGACAATGGCAGGCTCCCCATCTTTCCATTAGAAAAGATGGCTCCCCCCCCCCCCCCCCCGTGTGATGAGGCAGGGGGAAGCTGCAATGGAGCAACGCATGGGGTGACAGGTCCCATGCCCCCTACATGGGCGCTGGCATGACACAGAAAGATTCTGGCAGTGTGCATGACAAGATCATAAGATGCATAAAGGGAATTCTAATAAATGTTGGAGATGTGAGAAAAATGTTGGGGCATTTTACCATATGCGGCAGTCTTGTAAAAAGGTTCAGGAATACTGGACTCAATTACATGCTGGAAGAAATTGTTAAGGTCAAAATCCTGATGAAACCATAGTTTTATTTGTTAGAGATCCTGGATGATCAGCTAGAAGGAAAACATGAAAGACTATTACTATATATGATTACTGCAGGAAGAATAATCTGTGCCCAGAGATGGAAAGAACTAACTATCCTGATAAAGAATGACTGATGAAGGTATGTGAACTAGCCAAGATGGACAAGTTGACAATGTTGATCAAGGAGAAATCCTTGACTAATTTTAAGAAAGACTGGGACTCATCATTTTCCTGCAGCAAATATGGGGACAAACTTCAACTATTGGATTTCTGATTTAGAACAGTGTTATTAAAAGTAGAAGGGTGGGTATATAAAGATATTTTAAGAGAGCAGAAAGTAAGAAGTGAAAATCAACAAGCAATGAGTGTGAGGCTTGTAGAGTATTTCTTGTTGTTAAATGTTTAGTCTATGTTTAGTAGTGTGAGTTGTATAGATTAGGATGATTGTTTTAGATATAGTTCTTAGTTGTAATCTAGTTTTATATATAAAGAAAAACAGTTTCATTTTGTTTCTGCGGGAGGGATGTTGTTCTTGTTTTTTGTAACTATCTGTTCCTGTTTGTTTACATGTTAGTATTTCCATTCTTTTGAATGAAAAATAAACATAATTTTTTTAAAAGTGTGTGCTGGAGGATAGGAACCCATCTCTGGTCTACTTTGTATTCCTAAATATAAAAACTCCAGCTGCCATCATACTTTATCAGGCCAGATTCTGAACGAGCTAATCTGTGTGCTGTTGCCCTTGGTTTCTTTCTCTGTCACAATATGATTTAGTACCCGCCCAGGTTCATCAGAGCTGTATCCTGTTGTTGCAGAGTGAATTGTGTAAACAGGCATTGTGTTGCTGCTTCCTACTCAAGAGCTCTTGCTAGAGATCCTTTTGTGATGTCATCCTCTGTTTGTGACCTCAGAGTGCAGTCTCCATGGGAATGTATTGCCTAGTTAACAAACACTGCATTCATGACTATGCCGAACAAGTTGGGATTGGGGAGGTCATATTGCCTGTTGCTTTAAGTCAGGGGTGGGGAAATGAGACCTTCTGGCTGTTGGTTCCCAATGCCATTTTTCAGGCCTTAATTCCTCTAAAATCCTTTTTATTGCTTTTTTTAAATTAAAAAAATCTTTGACTTTTGGCTTAGTTCCTGATTTTAAAAAAGTCCTCTCCCAGGCTCTGCCTGCTCCCACCTCCAAAATGTAGGAAAATGTTCTCTATCCATTTTTGCAATTAGAATATAGTGCTCCCACAAATAAAATTCAAGAAAAAAAGTTCAGAGATATAGAAGCTAGTGGAGATTCCCAGCTATTGGCATTTTTTTTCTTTTTGGTCAAAGTTGGTTAACATTTAAGTCAAAATTTTAGCCTTCTGTTCACCTGGTAGCACTATCCTACCCTTGGTTAAATTTCTTATCTTTTAGCCTATGGATAGAAATAATGAAATGTTCCTAATGTCATTAGACTGACAAAATACCACCTCTTCTTCTCCCTTCTCTTCACTGCAAGTGACAAATCAATATATAGTAAACGGTGATGTCAGGAATATGCCAGAGATTCATTTGAGCACATTCTGTGTGACTGACTCACCTGAGGAATGTGATGTTGGAACTGTGAGCTTGTGTAAGTCTGTGACTCCTATGTAACATACTACACAGGTGGAGTACACAGTATTAAGATTTGTAATAGTACTGTGGGGTGAGGATTTCAAGCTAATTGTCGCCATATTATTGGACTGTTGTTGCCTTCAAGTTATTTCTGAGTTATGGTAACCTTAAAACAGACCTATCATGGGATTTTGTCCAGATAGGTTTGCCTTGGCCGTCCTCTGAGGCTGAGTGTGTGTGACTTGCCCAAGATCACCCTGTGACTTTCCATGGCTGAGTGGGGATTCGAACCCTGGACCCCAAAGCCATACTCCAATACTCAACCTACTACATCATGTACAAACCAGATGACATATCATAAAATCATAGAGCTGGAAGAGACCCTGTGGGCCATCCAGTCCAACCCCCTGCCAAGTAGCAAGGCAATCGCATTCAAAGCACATCTAACAGATGGCCATCCAGCCTCTGTTTAAAAGCCTCCAAAGAAGGAGCCTCTACCACACTTCAGAGCAGAGAGTTCCACTACTGAACAGCTCTCACGGTCAGAAAGTTCTTCCTAATGTTCAGGTGAAATTTCCTTTCCTGTAGTTTGAAGCCATTGCTCCACATCCTTGTCTCAACTCATAGCTTATGAAACCATGACAAATAAAGTCTACAACATAACATGTTCATAAAAATGGAAAAGAACATGGCTTTCCATGAATTAATATCCTATAGTAAATACGTTTCAATGAATGAATAAGCAAAATATTCCACTAGGGCAAAATATAAATATCGTAATTGAGAAGGTAAGCAAAGGCTATAATTGGTGATGTTACTGACTTAATTAGGACACATTTGATATACAGAGATAGGAGATGTTATCCTAATGGAAACTATTTTACACCACAATCCCACATATGTTTTCTCAGGAAGTCCCATTTAGGGGCTTATACCTAAGAAGAATAAATACAAAACAGAAACCTCAGCCTCTCTAGATACAGCAAACCAGAAAGCCATAGATTCAGGCCATTTGACAGAAGCAAATACAAAAAGGTGGCAATGAGCAAACCTTGAAAGGAGAGTGGAGTGTTTTGTTTATGACCTGTATGAGAGGCCAGCTACACCACCTTTAATGCCTAAAGGCAGGCATGTGGGATCCTCAAGCAGACTAAATCAATCTCTCCTTGACAGGAATGAACTTACCAAACCAGTTAGTCAAGCCAGGCAGAGAGAAGAGTGGGAGGGAAGGGAGAGGTGAGGCATAAGGGAGTGGGAGGGATATACAGAGTGAGGGAAGTATGAAAGACTTCTGAGTCATCCATCTAAGGAAGAAGAGTTCAACACTACTCTTGAGTTCAAGATGGCCAATCCCACAAACATTTCATATTTTCTTACTGCCACTGGTGTCGGGTAGTTCATTTCCTTCACTATCACCCCCAAGTGATCAGAGAGATAAAATACAGCAAAGGTCAACACTAAAATGAACAGACTGACACGCCAGGAGCAAAATCTGTTTTTAGCCTCTCATGTCTGTGTTTCAGAAGTAAATGTTTTAAACTTCAAATGTTTATAAAAAGTAAATTCCCACTCCCACACCTGGATCTCAGAAGTCAGAGGCTGGTGGATCCAGTGTGTTAATATGGACACACATGCTAAATGTTTTATTCAACTTTTTATTCATCAAAAATAGACAGACAACAGAGAGGCAAAAACCCAAGATCCAATCCTCAGATACAGAAAGATCATCTGATATCATCATCATCATCTTCATCATGATAAGTTTCATAAAGTACATTGGCAAGATTTGCTAATAAAACAACAATGTTGTACCTTGTTCTCCTATTTGTACAGATACCCACTCTTAAGTATTAAAAGCAGCATGTCAGACCATATCATTCAACTAGGCCAATGCCTATTACTGAATTTTGCACACCAATCGAACTACCTCCCTTCCACACCTTAAAAAATGTGAAAGTATGCTTTAGTGGCCCAGGACTTGGACTTAAGAGAGTTAACTTGAACCCCTTAAAGGTAAAGATAAAGGTTTTCCCTTGACATTAAGTTTAGTCATATTTGATTTTGGGGGGTGGTGCTCATCTCCATTTCTAAGCTGAAGAACTGACGTCCGTAGACACCTCCAAAGTCATGTGGCCAGCATGACTGCATGGAATGCCGTTACCTTCCCGCAGAAGCGGTACCTATTGATCTACTCACATTTGCATGTTTCTGAACTGCTAATCCTTATTCTGCCATAAATCCTTGAAATCCTTACTCTGCAAAAATTTCACTGCATGAGTTTGATATGATTATGCATTCTCAGCTTAACCCATCTTTCATAGGAACCAAAAGGTAAATGGGTAAGTGGGAAGATACTATGTACATTACTATAAACTACTTAGAGGAAAGGTCTATACCAGTGCATACTTCAGTAATCAGGCCAATTAGATTAGACACAGATGATCAAGATGGTTTTAAACAGTGTATTTTAATGTTGAGACAAATGTTTTAATGTTTATGTATGCATATAATGAATTCATGTCCTGGCACTGAATGGTTGCCTTATATATGCTGTGCTCCGCCCTGAGTCCCCTTCGAGGTGAGAAGGGCAGAATATCAATGTTTTAAATAAATAAATAAATAAATATTCCAATCGATCACAACTGGAACATTCAATGCATCATCATTAGTGAATGTCTAGAACCCGAATGAACACTCTAACATGGCCTGGTCTCACTCACCATACATTTTGCCCTCATCCGAGAGGATAATCTTCCGCCGGCCACAAGGCGGATATATCGCCAGCGCCTCCTGGAAGCTCTGTTCAATGTCTGGACTCCACACTCCTTCGGCATCATTGTCCAGACTCTTATCCATCCCGTCCTGTCCATCTTCTCGCCCCTCTCCGGGGCTGCCGCTGGCGTTCCAGCTGTTGGACGCTATTGTGATGGCTGCCCTGGGCTCTGACTCTGAGCCCCAAATGGCAACTCGTTAACCTGAAAGCAAGCAAAAGATGTCCGATTAATCAAACTGCCAGTGATGGTATCCTAACTCTAAAACACGCCACCTCATTCTTTAGAACAGAAGCACAGAGAGAAGGCTCATTCACAGAGACTCATGGAAAAGGCAGAACTAAAAAGTAAATTAAAGCTTGTGCGCCAGCTGCGCTAAAGCTTGTGCGCCAGCTGCGCCCGTACCTTGGGAAGTCTGACTTGGCCACGGTAGTCCATGCTCTGGTTACATCCCGTTTAGACTACTGCAGCGCTCTCTATGTGGGGTTGCCTTTGAAGACAGCTCGGAAGCTCCAACTAGTCCAACGCTCGGCAGCCATGATTTTAACAGGAGCGGAGCGCAGGGAGCATACAACCCCCCTGTTGCGCCAACTCCACTGGCTACCGATCTGCTACCGGGCTGAATTCAAAGTGCTGGCGTTGGCCTTTAAAGCCCTAAACGGTTCCGGCCCAAGCTACCTATCTGACCGCATCTCTGCCTATGAACCCACCAGGACTTTGAGATCTTCCGGGGAGACCCTGCTCTCGATCCCGCCTGCTTCTCAAGCTCGGCTGGCGGGGACGAGAGATAGGGCCTTCTCGGTGGTGGCTCCTCGGCTGTGGAACGCCCTTCCTACGGACATTAGACTAGCACCATCTCTAATGGTATTCCGCAAAAAGGTGAAGACCTGGATGTGTGTGCAGGCGTTTGAGTAATTTAGTGCAATCTGGTAATGGAACATAGGAATGGAACAATGGACGACGAACCTGGACTACGCTTGGATGATGAGAAGATTGGGTACGGTTGTTTTTCGTAATAATTGTGCATTATAATTGCTTATTGGTAATTTATGGATAATGTGTTAAGTCAATTGTTATATGTTGTATGGAACCACTGCTGTTTCTACTGTTTTTACTGTTTGTGAACCGCTGTGAGTCGCCTTCGGGCTTGAGATACAGCGGTATATAAGCAAAGTAAATAAATAAATAAATAAATAAATTGCCTGCAATATGCATTTTGTATTTTTAAAAAAGATAGGAAGGCAAGGTTGCTGAAGCAGAAAAACTCTTCATGTACCAGGATGGGACATGATTCAGATGTACAAAAAGTATACAAAAGTAGACCTACAAGTTAGTCTTTATGGGAGGACAGTGGCAAAGGTATCACATGTGGGTTGCATTTGGCCTCCAGGTCTACCAGGGGAACCTCAAAGTTCAAAGGCTTTGGTCTTGACTGGTTTTGTCCATCACCATGTAAAATCACACCCAAACATCGTGTTCTTTTTTCTTAGGGGGAAATGCTGCAAATGAAACTGGAAGTGAAGTCACACCATTTCTGCTTTGAAAAGCCTGTCAGGATTGTGTGGCAGGTGAAATTAGCCCCCTCCTTCAGTGCAATTGTCCACAACTGATCTAGATACTGTCACCTACACAACTTTCAGCTACTTGCCATTTCCAGTTTCCAATAATTATTAGTTCTCATCCCAGCACAGTTTCTAATCTTTCTCAGTAAAACCTTTAACCTTCATGCTTGTTTAGACACTACTTCCTGATTCCCAAGGCATTTTAAAAATATCAGTAATGTGTCCAAATGAACACCCAATGTTGGTTGTTGGACACTCAGGAGAAACAAGTGCGCATTTACTATTTAAACCGTGGATCTAATTCACACCCTATTTTAATGCTTTCTGCAAACTGAAATTAAAATTATTCACCAGATATGTATCATTTGCAATCTCAGATCAATTGTGTTTTCAGCAAGTTTTAACACATTTCCTGAATTTTGATATTTTTCTTTGTTTTCAATTCAGCTATTGTCTGATGGCAGGCAAAATAATAAAAATAGAATATTGGTGTGTGTGAACATATTTGCAGCTTTGTATTGACTTGCTTTAATGCAAAGTTTCCAGTGGTGAACCTTTTGAATAGAACTGATTCACAGTAATAATTTGTTTCAAAACAGAATAATAGATTTGGAAGAGACCCACAAGGGCTATTCAGATCAACTTCCTGACATCCAGAAACATATAATCACTCCCAACAAATGACCATCTGGGCTCTTAATCTCCAAAGGAGGAGACTTCATCACACTCTCAAGGCAGGGGATGCTTTGATTGTGCTTTTCCTGCATGACAGGAGGGGTTGGACTGGATGGCCCCTGGGGTTTCTCCTATTACTATTATCATTTTGACAAAAGCTGGGTGGACATTTGTTGGGGGTGCTTTGATTGTGCTTTTCCTGCATGACAGAAGGGGGTTGGACTAGATGGTTGCTGGGGTTTTCCACTGAAATACTGTTAAGTTTATGTTGTTTAAAATTGTTCTTCATTTTAAAAATTGCATTGTTCTTTCTTTCCATTTTTTGCACTACAAATGAGATGTGTGTAGTGTGCTTAGGTTTTTGTTCATGCTTTTTTCAATTAGTTCACACAAACACTCTCCATACATCTGCCACTGTCCCAGCCTGTCTGTCAAATTTTAAAACAAAATGCACCAAAAGTTTGCCCATGCCTGATATATGTACACTATATATCATATAATATATAAATATTTATTGGGCCTCCATGAGAAACTTTTGCTTCAAATAGGTCCCAGTGTCTGAAAAAGTTGGAGAACTCCTGAGATAGAGAAAGCCATGGTTATTTGGATGAGTAAGAGTCTTCCTTATTCTTCTCATTGAGCCGACTACAGGCAGTCCCAGAGTTACAAACATCTGACTTACAAATGACTCATAGTTAAGAACAGAGCTGAAACAATAGGAAGTGAAGAGAAATTTATTATAGGAAAAGAAATTCACTCCTGAAAGAGTTGTCATGGGGAAAATGCATCTCCGGTGAAGCTTTAACATCAATCCTTGTTTCTCCAACAAGCCAAATTTTGCAAAATTTAGTTATCACAGGTATAGAAAGTGAGATGAAGTCTTTTGAACAGGGCACAGATAGCCAAACAAACACCACGGGGGTGTTAATCCTTCCCTATGCTATCCAAAACTTGGTGTCTTTCCCTCCCTCCTCCCTCTCTCTATATGGCTGGACTTACACTTAAAAATGTACCTGTTCTGACTTACATAGAAATTCAACTTAAAAACAAACCTACAGAACCTATCTTGCTTGTAAATTATGGACTACCTATAACTCTGCCACCAAATTTCAGAAAATATTTTGAAATATTTATACAGCACATTTTAATTTTAGACAATACAAGACAGTCTTACAACATAATGAAAAGGTGAGTCCCCACTCTTGGAGGCTTCCAGGAGAAGCATCCCTTTTCTAGCTAGCAAAAGTGTGGTTTAGGGCTACAAAACTAATGCTAGTCTCACTTTACCTACTCCTGTGTTAGGCAAATCATTGGAAAGCAATAAAATAATGTCTCTGGTATGTCATTATAATTTAACAGTCTTAACAATACAAGGGATTCAGTCTTAAAATACCCCTAACAAAAATGAAGACCCACTGGCTACATTTTAGACAATAGTGTCAAGAACCCCACATATATGGGGCTATATCATTTATATATTTCTTTCTCTTAAAGAATAAAATATACAGTGCAATTATCAATACAGATCAATTGCACCAGAGGCAAAAATAATCACAGAACCTCTAAATTTATGTATTTTAAGTAGAGTTAATTCTCATATTTAGATGTGAGCTATCAAGTAAGCAAACAATCATGTACATATGAACACACGTCTAGAATCACTATGCTGTTAATAGTGACTTTTTGTCACCATTCCTAATTGACTACAATGCCATGAATGTTCACATGCCTCAAAATGGGCCAGGTAGAAACAATGGCTCTCACTCCTGAGATAGGCTAAATTCCTTGTTTTAGCCCCAAACTCACAGATCAGTGAAGACTGCGACAAAATTCACAGGACATACTGGGTGGGTTCCCCACATTTAAGTTCACAACTTCAGTTGCTTTAAATGTGAGTGCCCAGTTTCTAATTCATCTTAAGAAAGAAGTCCGCTATCAATTTTCGGACACATGGAGCAAAACAGACAATAGTGGGTTATGGCCCCTACTATATGTAAAATAAGTAAGATTACTTTTAGATTTAAAAAAATTAATCAGATGTTCTAATCCGTCTTCTGGCAGCCCAATCCAGATTATTTTTAAATTGTGAAATTAGTATTAGTAATTTTAAACTAATTGTTTTAATATGATTTCTTTGGTTTGTTCTTTTAAATTGATGTTAATTGTTTTGACTGATTTATGTGTCTTTAAGTAATGTAACATTTTAAACCAATGTTTTGTATTTTTATTGGTTGTTCCCTGTCCCAACTGATAGGAATGATCATGAGCATACCTTCATGAAGCTGGAAAGCTGGAATGTTAAATTGCCTCTGTGTCTGTCTATATATGGTGTATGTCTAATGGCACTGAATGTTTGCTATATATATGTGCATTGTAATCCACCCTGAGTCCCTTATGGGGTGAGAAGGGCAGAATATAAATTATAAATAAATAAATGTTGTTGTTGTTATTCAATTAGTCTAAAGTGGTTAAAAATAAGTTCTAATTTAATATCAATATATTGTTTTGTAAATGCTTGAAAATGAATCCATCACATTGACATATTGGAAAACACTTAGGAAAATGGTGTTAGAAGGACAAGAGGGTCTTTTTCTGATCTCTCCTCTCCTTTGCAATTGGACAAGTGCCCTGAGAAGCACCTCCTGACAGTCAAGAGAACATCTTGAATAGAGCGGACTGAGAGAGCAAGGAGAAACTGCTTCAAATCCTGAACTTGGTTTACATCCATGTCATGCCTGTACTCAGTTTTCAGCATCCCAGCGGCTACTGACTAACCCACTCCACAAATCCAGTGACTGTCATGATAGATTTTCTGGAAACTTGAGGGATTGTAGATTGAGAAACACTAGATAATTATTCTTCCTTGAGTGCTTCTTAGGATCCAAGCCATAGGAGAACTTTTTGGACCTATTATTTTTGCAATACTTGGACAGTCCAAATAAAATATATCACACAATTTGAACAAAA